CCCCCTGAAACGGAGTTTTCACCGCCGCGCGTCCTTCTTCACGCGTCGCGCCGAGGCTCCTCTCGAACGCTGTCGGAACCTCGACCAGGGACAAACAGGACGGGGAAGTTGAATAGATCGGCTCTAGCGATCGCGTGGTTAACGGAGGTTTTCGAGGATGATTTTCGTCGAGACGGTGTGAAAAGATCGAACGGTGGTAGAATAAGGTTTCGTGGTAATTTACAAGAGTGGACGCTTCCCGGAGGATTGTCGAAGGAAGGTTTGTGACTGACAGGGATGCTGCTAAGAGTGGTGCATTCTAACCTACACTACATTACTACGAGACTAGCTTTAACACCTCTCGTTTCAATCTACTCTTTTCTATCGGGATAAAAATTCAAGACAAAAATTGATAAATAGGAAGGAACAGTATTGTCATCCTACCTGCCACACGTTCCCACTCAACGCAGTGTAAAAATTCGAAGAAACGTACACCTAAGGGAGAGGATTGAAAGCTACCTAGAGCAGCATCCCACGGAGGCAAAGTAACCAGGACCGGTTCGATATTTTCGTAGAATGTCGGGATATCGATCAGGTTTTGTCGGGCGCGAGTACGGGCGGAGCCGGCGCGATAACCTCGCGGTGTTTTCGTTTCCTCGAGACCGTCATACTACCTGTGACCCTACGTTCTCTCGTGTGGCCTTCTCATTGAGAGACCCCTTTGCTACGTTTGCCAGCCGGCCGATACGTGTTGCTCCGCTGACATCGCGCGATTCCGCGTGTACGTATGCACACACTCGCCTCCTGCGTCGGCCAATTCCGCATCCAGAGGTCCTCGATGCTCTCTTGTGCTCGCCGTTCATTGTTCCTCGAGCTTCTATTATGCTCTCGAGTAGAGAGATCTCCCGTCCATTTCCCCCTTTTTTCTCTGTTTCGTTCAAATTTCCCCGTCGAATGTTCAATTTCTTTTTCCCCTGCACGTATATTTCGTTGCTGCTTTCTACCGTTGAACGGTAGAGAAATTGGAGGAAGGTGTGCGGCGGCAAAGGACAGGATTCTCGAGATTCCGCGAGAAGGGGGTGCTTGATTTTTAATTACATGCCCACTTTGTTCCCTTCGACGCGTAACTCGCGGCTCGCGTGGCAATTGCCGGGGGTTTCCCGTGGTCGCAAACATTCCCCGACGCGAGATTTCAACAACGAAACTTTCACTACGCGATTCATTACCGCCCCTCGGCGTATACACGCGCTACCGTGATTAAAAAGACGCGAGAACGCGTGACGGATGTGCACACACGGCTGTGCATCAGCCTAAATTAAATGCGCCGTCGAAACTGGGTTGTGGCGAGGAATCGAGCTCTGTTTCACCGTTCAACCACGGATAGATCTGTGTGTGTGGGTTTGTGCGGGGGAGGTTTTCTGTGGTAGCGAATTGTAGGAAAGTTTTGCGTGAAAAATTCAAAGAGAGGAGAAGTAATTGTTTGCAACGGAGAAAGGCTGTGTCTTGTAATTGCAGCGAATGAGAAAATATAATGTGTCCTTAGAATTGCTCGCCTTGAAACGTGTTTAAGGGGAGAGTGAAGGCTTTCCATTCGGTATCGCCTTGCATTCTGACGGGAAGATTGTTGTGTGATGGTTTTAACGTGATTTGAGGGATGAGTCTTGAAGTGTTGCGAGGGAAGCGAATACGCTTGAGTAGGTTTGCAAGAGTGAAGGCTTTCCATTCGGTATCGCCTTGCATTCTGACGGGAAGATTGTTGTGTGATGGTTTTTAACGTGATTTGAGGGATGAGTCTTGAAGTGTTGCGAGGGAAGCGAATACGCTTGAGTAGGTTTGCAAGATACAGTAAATTCTCTACAAGTGTCAGTCAGTTTGGATTCTACAAGTGCCAGTATAGATGGTCCTACGCCTAGGCTGCGTCATTGTTGCGCCTATGTTATCTCGCTCGCTGTCAGTCAAGCGTGTAACGCTACACGGCTGGACAATTCATAATAGAAAAATATAATTTCTTTAACTTTACTTTTCTTCATCTTGAATTTGTTTTAACATGTTGGTCGAGATTTCTCTGATGAAAATGATATCAAACACGATATAATTTGAACAACATTTACTTATTAA